TGTGTGTGTGTGTGTGTGAGTGTGTGTGTGTCTGAATCATCGTTTGGAGGAAAACGACTCATTGTTTCTAAAAGTTGAAGCAAAAGACTCGTTTTGCTTCAGATTTTAACTCCTGATATAAAACATCTGTAGTTTAATGTAAACAAAACATTTAAATATGAACTTTTAGTTAATGAACATGTTGTTTACACAAAATAAACACGTATGAATCTAAATACATTGTTCAGCATTAGAGCAGAACATCAGCAGCAGCTCACAGATAAAGAGCCTGTTTGATGGTGGAGACCAAAACAGACACAAAACAGCTGGACTGGGCGACACAATGAAACATACGTCGCATGTTCGATTCCCACGTGTTTCTATTAGAAATACAAAGCTGTTAATCCACGTTAACTGTGGTTTTATTCTCCAGGTTCATCGCTGTGTCCATACCTCTGAATTACAACCGTAAGCACGTGGACCAGCGTCAGCTCGTGCTGCTGTCGGCCACGTGGCTGCTGGCCCTGGCTGTGGCCTCACCCGTCATGTTCGGCATCAACAACGTGCCCGACCGCGACCCCAGCGAGTGCAAACTGGAGGACAACAACTATGTTGTTTATTCCTCCGTCTGCTCCTTCTTCATCCCCTGTCCCATCATGCTCCTGCTCTACTTTGGGGTTTTCCGCGGGCTGCAGCACTGGGAGGAGGCTCGTAGAGCCAAACTACGCAGCAGCATCGAGGCCTGCAGGAAGCTGCAGCACGCCGCCGTCGCCACCGCCCTCCCCCCGCTGACGGGCACCATCCCCGGACCTCTGCCCATGCCGCTGCCCAGGATCATCGAGAGGGACTTGGCCCAGTCTCGGCTGGACGATACAGACGACTACATAAAGCGGGAGATCCCTTATCCTCGGCAGTACAGAGAGAACTCGGTTCCCACGGTGACGTTCAGCCAACTGCAGCGGAGGAGGCAGAGAGCCAAGATCAACAGCCGGGAGAGGAAGGCCATGAGGGTGCTGCCTGTGGTCGTAGGTGAGTGAACCTGAGAGGACGTCGTCTCCAGCAGCAAAAACTCAATTAACGTTAAAGGACCATCACTCCCTCATGTCAGGAGCTAATAAAAAGTGAAGACATGAATAAACCCAGGTTTATATATTTATATACAAACACATATTTCATCAGCACAAAGAGTTTCACTTTGAACTTTGAGACGTGGGACAGAAGTTCAGCTCCTGTTGTTTACAGCTTCAAACCAAACCAACATGTTTCAGTTCCTCTGTAATGTTTGTGAGGAACCAGATCAGGGACGTGCTGAAGGATACCACACCTTCATGTTTCTTTACGTGTAACGAGACGTCTGCATGCGTGTTGACAGTCGAAGGGATGTTTGTGTTGTGGTTCGTGTCCGTCAGGATAACAGTCACTTCTGATTGGCCATCTCTCAACGAGCGGCGCCATTATAGCTTAAAGCCTTCAATCCAATTATTATACAACAGGCGATCTGACCGTCTCATGTCCACTGAGTCCGCTCTGGTCCTCTAGTTTTATTCTGTGGTTTCTGTCCAACACATTTTTAACTCCACGTTCACACCAGTGTTCAAACTGCAGCTGAGTGAAGTCAGGGGGGGGGGGGGGGGGGGGGGGGGGGGGGGGGGCTGGATACCAGCACGGTCCTGTGTTCAGTGTGAACTGTCTTCTGTTTGTCTTCCTCTGACAGAGGACGACTCACACACACAATGATTCTGTGTTTTTCACATGTTGCTGCACTGAAAACACGTAAATCATCTGAGCAGAGCTGTTATTGTTCTGCTTCATCGCCTCGACAGGTGCAGGCGGTCCGTCATCGAAGGCCTTTTATTTGTTGAGGATCTTTAACGATCTGACGACATCTCAGATCTTCAGATTCGCAGCGACCTCCTGCCGTCTCCTCCTGGATCCAGGCGGAATCATTGTCGTGTCTGAGGCACATTTACAGAACAACAGTTGTCATGAGCCGCGTTCATCTTATGAATAACAAGTGTGACCCGCTGACAGCGGAGCCGGGACACGTTGAGTGTCTCCATCTCCTGGAGTAAAGAGACACATCTCATCCCTAATAGATCATCAGCACCACGAGACGTCAGCTGAGACAAACGTCCTCAGTTTGACTCAGGGACTGTTCCCAGTCGGTGATGAGGGAAATGAAACGTATTCTGTGAGACATCAGTGTAGAGACGCTCTCACCAGTGTTCGTTCTGGAGGGTTTGTTTTTAACATCATGTTTTCACCCTGAGGTGAGACAGACACTGAATTACCTTCTGTCCTTCTGTACACAACATGCACGGAGCTCGATTCTCTACTTTGCTCCTCACGATGAAATCAGACGACTTTCTTGTGAGGGCAGAGAAAGATTCATAAACTTATTGAAGTTAAAAAACGAGACAGAGTTCCTGCGTCGTCTCTGATGATCAGTGTTTATGAATCCTTCCCTCTTGGATTTGACATGTTGACGTATGTGACGGACACGTAGCGCTTGAACGTTCAGTGTGGTGGCTCGTTGATATCGGTTTTTTTGGCTGGTTTAGATTTTCTCACGTTGTGAGTTCAGGCTCCGTGTGTTAATTCGAGAGGTGACAGATTTCCCTTCTCATTTGTTCTCAGGTTGTTTCCTGTTCTGCTGGACGCCGTTCTTCGTCGTCCACACAACACGAGCTTTGTGTTTGACGTGCGCCATCCCGCCCGGTCTGATGAGCACCGTCACCTGGCTGGGCTACGTCAACAGTGCCCTCAACCCCATCATCTACACCGTCTTCAACACAGAGTTCAGGAAATTCTTCAAGAAATGTTTCCGCAGCTGCTGCTGGCTGCAGCGTTCACTGAGGCGCTGAGATAAAGGAAGGATACGAGCGATGAGGACGTCAGGAACAGAAGGTGTTCAGCTCGTTGTATCGGTGCTGCCAGGCTGGAGGCCGATCGATGAGGACGACTGACAGCATCTGACCACAGAACAACATTCAGCCTGTTCTTTAGTGTTTGTGAAAATCTGTCCCTGGTGATATCGGTTTAATTTCGGAGACTCTCCTGCTGTTTGGTGATGAAGCTGTTTGATTCCTGGTTAGCGGACAGAACCCTCTGTCCAAACCAAATGTCTGAGCAGGAAGCTGCCGACACTGACTGCTGAAGGAGAGCGAACACCAGAGCTCCTCCCTGAGAGTCAGATTGGAATCATCTCCGGTGTCCGTGTGGACTTCACGTCCTGGAACGTTTGTGTGAGCTGCAGTCTGAGCGCTCCTCGTTTCACTGCTCACACAATCCGTCCAAAGCGTTGAGGTTGTTTTTCCTCTTTGTCATCGAGTGGTAGTTTGCTTGGTGAGGGTCTGCGGCGGGTACAGGCAGACCCAGGGGGATTCTGGGTGAGACGGAGGCGTCTCCTGCCTCGTGTAGTGAACTTCACTGGATGCAGTGTGTCTTGGTGCAGCCCCTCTCTGATGTAGAGTTACACTCAGCAGCTCGTCCACACATCAGGTCAATGAGACGTACATATTTAATGTGACGGAGTGTGAAGACTAGTGAGGAGGAGGAGAAAGGACACGATCACCGACTCACCTGGGAGTCGGTGACTTCAACACATGATCAGTAGAAACCAACGTCCTGTCATCATCAGCGACAGGGCGGAGTCTCCCTGTACCTGCTGCTCATTGGTTGAGAGACGAGGGCGTCTGACGTCACTTCAGCTCGTGACCATTACTGATCACACATGAAACTGATGGTTCAAATTACAATGAAATATTTTGTCTTCTCTTCTAACGTGACACCGCGGCTCGGTTTGACTTCTTCTTCTGTTGTTCCTTTAAGGATGAGCCTGTGTTCACTTCCTGTGTGTCGCTGTGTAAATAGAGTGAAGCTGGTTCAATCTGATCCAGGATCATCTCACCTGACGTCTGAGGTTTCACACCTGCTGCTGTTGTGAATCTGTAGCTGTGAAAAATACTCTGAACAGAAAAGTCAAGTTTTTAAAACATTAAACCAAAAATGCTAAATAAGGAAATGTAATCCTGTATTGATTATTATTATGAAAACTTTTCTTTTTTTCTGATTAAATCCCAAATTGTTTTAGAACATAATCAAGTGTGAGCGGTAGCATCTCGAGAAAAGATGGTTGTTGAAATGGAATCATTTGAGATTTAGATTTATTTTTGTCCTGCTGTTAGATGTCAAACGAATTTCTAACAAATAGTTTGAAACTTTAACTTTAATATCAGATCTACAACTTGAATCCTCGATATGATTCCTGCTCGGATTGATAAAGATTATTAGAATAAACCTGCTCAATCAGCCTGTAGGTTTTATTTTGAAAATCAGATACCATACGCTTTAAAAAGTATAAATGATGTAAAGTTAAATAAGTTGTGATCTAGAAAACTGTTTTCAGATTGTGACTCTGAAGTCGTCCTCTGTATTTGTGGTTTGTGCGTCACCACAGTGTGTTTGGTTGTGACTGTGCCATGTCCACGTTTCAGTGGAACATTTTCTAATAAAGACGTCATCTTCCTGCTTGTGTCTGAAACCGGCTCAGTTTGAGATCATTTTATAACAGATACAGTTTGTGCCCATTTCAAAATGTGGACGGATCAGGAGGAAGAGACGGAGACACGAACAACAGACCAGTTGTTTTCCATCTTTTGATATTCATGCGTTTCATTTTATCTCTGTGGGAGCATGTGTTTTCATTTTTTGTTGATTTGTCTCTTTGCAGTAATTGTCTTTCATTGTGGTCCATTGCTTCTCTTTGTAGTTTATTCACGTCTCCGCTGCCGGAGTCCTGCACAGAAGATGCACACTGACTCTTATTCCAGCTCGGCTGGAGGCCTCGGCCCAAAGACAAAACTCGACTCCTCATCAGATGGAATCCAGCAGGTGACCAAATCAAAGAGTGATTTCTGATCTGCCATTGATTCGGTCAAAGCTTGATTGACTTTGTGAAACTACAACTATTCACCACAAGGTTCATTTAGCAGCTGCTCTGGAGCTTTTCATCAGATCTCACAGTCTTCACCCGTCGTGTCACTTTCTGTTTCCAGGTTTTCAGAACTTCCTCGTTGGTTTAAAACAATTTCAACCATAACAATCACTTGGATTTTAATGATAATTGAATGAGGACATGCAGCAGGTTATTATTCAAGTCTCCTTGACATCAGCACGACCTCTTCCGTCAGGAAAGTCACGTGAGGTTGTTTTGTGTTCGGTGCCGAGTGCAGTGATGAAAAGTGAAACCTGCAGCTCGATGAAGTGAAATGTTCTCACTCTTCTGTCTTTGTTGTCTCCTGCAGAATAAAACGTGGACACAGACACAGAGAGAGGATTCACTGAACACATCTGTCTGGAATTTATCACAAACACTCGGGCCTTGTTCAGACTTGGTATCAACGAGTCCTGAGAGAGATCGAGGATGAAGTGATCAGCTCTACGCTCGTCTACGTCCAGACCTCAGGTCTGAACACCTGAGGTCTCATTCAGCTGAAGATCACCTGAGATCCATGCAGGTATTTACAGGAGGAGACGCTTTGTGGGATGTGTTTATTTCCTTTGTTAGATAAGAAAAGTCATATCACAACGTTAGCTTAGCTTAGCATTAAGACAGGAAACCGGAAACTCTGGCTCCGTCCAAAGAAACAAACAAAACACCAACCAGGTCCAATCAGAGCTGAAATCAGAAAAATCAAAAGGTGCTTTTCTATGATTATTTGATAGTAATTGATTCTCTTGAATGGCTGAGTGTTAAATCATTTTCTGTGATTCTTCTCTTGCCGTGACGACGGTTTAAAGACCAACATCTTTGGATCAAAAGAAGTCTTTAACATTTTCTTAAATAAGGTTGTTAACGCACTCACTTCCTCTGCAGCAGCAGCCATCACCTTGTCCAGCTCCTGAGTCCAGCCCAGGGCGCCGACCAGGGCCTGCACGCCACTGACCACGTCGCCCAGCTGAACGACATCGTGCTGCCGGCGGCTCCAAGCGAACGGCCCCACCACGTCCCTGTTGATGAGCAGACGAGGAACGGAGCTGCGCACGGCCCCTGCCAGGCTGGCGAAGGGCTCCACCTGCAGAGCAAAGAGTGAACAATAAGAGGTTGACAAAATCACAGTGATGTTCTCCGTTCAGTTTGTTGTGGGCCTGGTTCAAGGGTCCATCAGTATCTCCACATCAGAACCCGACGTTCTGTCCCTGACATCAGGTTCTGTTTGAACCCGTTCTGTTGGTCGGTTGTTGGTTCGTCTGGAAGATCTCATAAAACATCTAAAACATCATAAAAGGTTGAGCTCTATGACCGAGAGGTGACCAGGATTTCTTTAACATGAGATAGAACATGAGAATAATTCATGCATCTCGATGAAAAAGGGGGAACGTGTGACTTGGTGCAGTTTGACTGAATTTAAGGTTTAAACTCTGAGTAAAAAACTATTTTCACTATAAAAATCAAATAAAAAGGAACATACAGTTCATTTGTAGTGTTTAGTTCATGATCACACTTCCAGCAACAAAGTATTTTAATCCACAACATCAACACAATCTTTATTTTGTGCCCCCCCCCCCTTTAATACAAAGCCTTCAACTTCTTAAGTGACATGAATGGAAACACAAGACTTTAACTTTAATAGATTTTCTACTTCTGAAAAACCAAATTGTTGTTGTTCAATGGTGCCTGCTGGTAATTATCAATTTTTAAATTTGAGTATTGAGTGAAACATGTTCCATGTAAAGGCAGTATTCACTGTTTGTGTCTGTACGTCTCATGATTCACTTTAACTTTAAGCAAAAATGCCAAAAAACAAACTGTTAGAAAAACAAGATTTCCCATCAAAATATAAAGAAGTGAGGGACCAGTCCTCTCCGTCACCTCTCACCCTGACACTCTGTCTGGATGTTCCCAGGACACGGGGTTCGGGGGCTGGTGGTGTTGGTGGTGCTCACCTCCAGTGATGTGCCCATGATGATCAGCAGATCTGCCAGAGGGAAGTCTGTGAGGTACTTGAAGAAATGCTGTGGAAGCTCCTCTCCGAAAAACACGATGTCAGGCTTGACCACACCTTTACAGGTGGGACACTTAGGGACCGTCCCACTCATCACATCCGGCTGAGGAGACAGAAAGATAAAAGATGTCAAACCACTGATGGGTTTTTATTTTTCTCTTTTCTCCGTCAATGCTGATGTGACGTCTTGTTATTGTGACTGACCCGAGGAGCGTGACAGTAACGTGTCAGGCGGATCATCTGTGCTCATTGACACAGATTTAATCATATTCAGGAACAAGAGTTCGAAAAACTTTGAGTTCTTTTATTTTAACACAAAGGTCTTTACAGTTTTGGTCAGTGTAACGTCAGACGAGCCAAATCCAGTGTCACATCTCTGTGGTGTGTTGAAAGTTTGTATTGTTTGTCCAGATGACAGTGAAGAGCTCACCGGAATAAAAAGACTTTTAAAAACACAAACTTATCAATATCTGGTCTGAAGGCATCTTTCAAATTCAGATCCTGGCGTTCGGGTTTAAACTCACTCGTAGATCATTGCCCTCGTATTTTCTCAAGCAGACGGTGCAGGTGGCGGTGGAGAACGTACCGTGGGCCTCGACCAGCAACTCAGGAGGAATCCCTGCCACTTGATATGCACACACACACACACACACACACACAAGGAAGAGATCATGAGCTTGTAGACAACATCAGCGATGTGTGGTGAATCCATAGATACGTACTTCTCTCCAGTCCGTCAATGTTCTGCGTGTACATCCTGAGAAGCTGACCCTTCTTCTGAAGCAGACGGACAAAGAA